AGGATTTAAAATGGTGATATAGAAAGATCTGTCAGATGTAAAATATATATAAATAAAATAAAAAAAGAAAGATATGTTAGGTATTCTTAATTTGGAAACCTGCTTTCTAGAAAGAATTTTGGGAATTAGACAAAGAATGTGAAATAAAATACAATTATATTGTACCTTTAAATCTTCAGAATGTCAGGAGGTTTCACTCCCTCTTATTAATTTGCCACAGGAGTTTGCTCTGCAAAATCCAAAGCGGCTTTTGCTTCAAATGTGATTAAACTTTGACTATTCAATTTGTTTAGTTTTCTGTTGAATCTATTATTGATTTTTCTGGTCTAAAACAAGAAGAATTAGCTGATACTAAACCTTGAATCTTTAAGTTCATTAGATGCATGTACAATAGTCTCCCTTCTCTGCAGGGAATATATTCCAAAATTCCCATGGACACCTAAAATGGACAGTACTGAGTCATATACTGTTCCATGTTTTTTCCTCTACATCCATACTTATTATAGTTTAATTTATAAATTAGGTACAGTAAGATGTTAACAATGATGCTAATAATAAAATAGGACATTTACAACACACTGCAATAAAAATTAGATGAATGTGGCCGCTCAGAATACCTTACTGTTTACTGTATTTTTGCATGATGGTTGATTGTGGGTGTCTGAAATTTTGGAATATGAGACCACATATTTGGAGGGGGTTACTGTAAAATAATATGCCTGTAGTGAAAAGTAATTCTGGAGATGGTAGTCCAGAGTTGTGGGTGTCACCCTTGGTTTCTAAGCCAAGGAGCTCTGATCATGAACAACTTCCATAATCTGTTTGACTTGTCTATAGAATGCTGACAGCTTCAAGTATCAGAGGAATATTTTAGGTTGTTGATTAGCTGTCTTTGAGAAAAGTGGAAATCAGGTAAATTTTTGTGAACTGCGTTGATATCCCTGAGGAAAAAATACATTAACATTAGGTACTGTTGGGGATGTCCAGTGACTTTGAAGGACATTGCAAGAGTGAGGATGGAAGCGAGACTGGAAAAGGTTGATAGGTGGTTGTAGAAGTATCGGACTTTGCAGTTGCAGTAAAATAACCAGAGATTTTAGCAGCATCTTTTCTTCTCTCCTTCTCCTCCTCTGTGCCTTCACTCACATTACCTAATGAGAAGCTGAAGTTCCCTATGATATTTTCCCTTTCACAAACTTAGTCTTATGATGTGTAGATTTGCCTCTTGGTGTTTAATACATACGAAAGGAGACTTTCAACTCTCCATTGAAAAGATAAATAAAAAGCATATCAGAAAAGTTTGTATTTTTATTAAAGAAAGAAAAATCTTGGTAGCACCTTCATTATTTTGATCATTTTTTAATATAACTTTCAGCATCTTTTTTATGTTTAATTCTTCTGGGGTCAGTATTATATTTTAGTAATAATAAAAAACAACAGGGCATGTATTTTCTTCATGGAAAACCTTCATTGTCTTCTGATAGAATTGTAACATAGAGAGCATCCTTGGGTTTTATGAAAATGCCATCATCCCTGTGTCATGGATTCCAGTGAACCCCAGAATTATGAGGAATGAATGCTCTAAAGAATGGATTTGCCAGGAGACCCACAGATGACATTACCTTTATTTCCTTTCATAGAATCACAATTCTGTCACGTGTTTTTGTTCTTGTGCAGTGAATTACCCTGTTGTAGCTCACATTCAAATCCAAGAAAGAAAGATCAGAGTTAATAGAAAACCAAATGCAAGGCAGGTGAGCTGGTGGAGGAAATAGTCACTTTGTGACCTCTCTCTTAGGCCAAAATTGCCTTGCCATAGAAGTCATGAAGCCTTGCTGGGTGCTTTGTACCCCTTATGTTAGTTAGGTGGTTTTTCATCTGAGAACCTTTTCAAAGTTTTCCTTCTGCCTCTATATTTTGAAGGAATCAAAATGTAATGTAAGAACATGGAGGGTTATGAAGCATGAAGTCCTATAAATATTTATGCCAAGCCACAAAAGTAGACAATTCCTATTTTCTTGACATATTGGGGTCATATTTCACTCTTGACCTCTTGAATTGAAAAATACAAGGAGTTCATGTACCATTTTCTTTCTTTTCTTTTTCTGTAGTTATTTATTTTTATTTCTTTAATGAGTTTTAGATGCTGGGGGCTGTCCTGTTAGGGTCATGTAACTTTCAGTGGACTTTATTATCTGTCCTGGCTTAAAAGTATGGGCTTAAAGGTTTGTACCCTTAGCAAAAGTAGCATAATTTATATCCAGTTTTAGGTCTCAGTGGTAAGTTGTTAAATCTGTTTTTGTGTGGGTCATTTTCACTAAATTAAAAACAAATGTTTTTAACAAGGCCAATAAGTTGCTTTGCATGTAAAAGCATATTTTAAATTTGGCCTTTCATTTTATTTTTTTCCCTTAAAAATTGCACAAATATTTTTGCCCTTTGAAATTATGTTAAAGAATCTTAGGAAGTAGCAATACATGTTCATTGTAGAAAATTTTAGAAGATGCAGATAGGCAGAAAAAGGGAAACAGCACCTGTAACCCCACTCTTTTTTTTCTGGTCTCTATACAAAAACAGTCTATTGTGAAAAAATATGTATTTTAAAAATTTCTGAAGTATTGGTAATCATTTCTGTGGTAATGATTGATTTTTGATGTTTCCCCTCTTCTTGGAAAGTTTTGAATAGGTTTTGAATAGGACCCTCCGGGGCTCTTCTTGTCTCAGCAAGGAAGGAATTCAAATTCAAGATCTTCCAAGACCAGTTAGGTAGAAAAGCAAGAGCTTTATTGTCAGATAAGAGAAAGGACGGGAAATCTTTCTGAGCAGAAAGGGGTCCTGAGTGAGTAGCCTCTGAGGGGCTAAGAAGTATGGTTATAGTGGGCAAGGAGTAGGGGTCATGGGTTGTCTCAGTGGGGGTCATGGGTTTTTGCTGATTGATTGAGTACCATGGGGTCTCCCAGGTTACTTGGCCTGCTTTCCGGAAAGAGCTTTGGTCCGTTGCTTTAGCATTGTGTTATTGTGTTGGTGTTCTGGGCACTCAGTTTTTGCTTGGTTGGAGGCGCCCTGACTCCAACCCATTGTTTCTCATTCAGATTGATAAATGGGCTTGGAACACCTCCGCTTGGGCCCCTCTTTAATCCTAAGTACCTCTGCCCATCTCCTAACTTCCTCATTTAGTTTCATTTGCTTTCTACAAAAAAAATATTAAAAAAAAATACTAGATAATACCTGTCTGTTTTACCAGATTAAGTGGAGAAAAGATAGTGGACAGATGCTTCCTCCCAGTTAATTAGTGAGGCTAATGCATATTTTCTTTTTCTCCTGGTGTTTTTAGTTTAGCAGAAGGAAAAAATGTGAAGAACAAAAAAATGTTACAAGGTAATAAGTAAAAGCCATCAGTTAACAGCTTATTTTGAGAACTAAGGAGAAATGGTTTATTTGAAGAATAAAGAGGGCATCTTTTGAGGTAAAGGAGAGAAGGTATGACTGGAGGAAAATAAGAGTTATAGAAATCAAGACTTAAAGGTTTTGAGGTTTCTGGACCAAGTCAAGTAAGGAAAGTTTAGAACCAGGAAGTCAAAGGCAATGTTGGTGAGTTCATTTCTGTAGCCAGGGCTACTGGCTAGGCCTGAAGACCCTTAGCCCAGCCACTGCTCATCCCCCCTGCAGTTGCACCCAGAAGGAAAGATACAGTTTAGATGCAGGAATGGCACCCTGGTCGAGAAGCATCGTGGGCACAGGGAGGAATCCGCAGTCAGTGTAAGCACATGCTGGGTGGGGCTCCTGAGTACCTTTTTTCAAAGCTTCTGGGGTCTTCATAGTTATCACATTTCCTCTATTGTTAGTCTCTGCCTTGCTATTAGCACTTGTCCTTATCCTATATGCAAGTAATTACCTTCCTAAATAAGACAAAGGACTGTTCTTTAGCCCCGTGTCCAACTGTGATCTCACCTTTCCTAATTCCTTAGCTGACTCCTGTCTACACTTACCTGTATCTATCTCTAGATCACTTATGAATTCGCTGTGCTGGGTCTCCTGCCCTAGCTACTCCATTGACACAACTCTAGTGAACTCTATTAACCCTCATCTGTGTGCTGCAGGGGTCTTTTGTCCCATCACTGCAAATCTCCATTTGAAAATTCTGGTCCATCTTGAGAATACCAATTAGGGGTCTTGGTTGCTTTGCAGTCAGAATTGATCTTGGCTAGGGCCTCCCCGGTGGCATAGGGGTTAAAGTCTCAGTGCTATCAAGCTATTGCCAGCCACTGTGGCATGAGTTCGATCCTGGGCCAGGAAGCTAACCCACATGGCGCAACAGCCCTTTCAGTCTCGTCTGCTGCTTCCCTCAGCAGTGTATTTCAGTAGATCTGCCTATTCTGCTCCCTACTCTGTCCCTGGTGAATCCTCTCACCCCTCTTTCCACCCTTCCCACACCGATTGCCTAGACCCCAGTTCTTATATGTAAATCTTTAAAAAAAAAAAAAAGAATTGATCTTAGCTAACCCATGGAAAAAGGTTCTTTTGGGGTAGGTTGCAGACCCTGCTAAGTTGCTTTCCCTTTTTCCCTTCAGAATACTGATTGAGTTTGGGTGGCAGTGTCCCAGACCCTTTCCTACATCAGTGTATTTTCAGGCTTCCTAACAAGGGGAAGAATGTCACACTATTCTGATTTACACTTGCAAGTAGACACTTGCTGGGGCTCATCATAGTTAAAGAGGTCTAGTCTTCTGGCCTTGAACCTGGCTCTGTAACAGTGATGCCAGTGATGTTCCCCATGTTTACATTGTTGTAAGTAGTAAGGATATATAAGTAACAAAGGCGAACATGGTTTGGGACTGATAGAACACTGAGGGTCCACTGGGTTAAAGTGTTTCAGGTAAAAAAATACAAACTTTTTGATGTACATTATGCTTTTTATTACTCCAATTTTAACTTTTGAAAAATACTTCAATTTTCATAGCATTTACTTTGTGTGATATAACTGAATTTCTATATTTTAGGTTGCCTGCCTGATTCGAGTTCCTTCTGAAGTAGTTAAGCAGAGGGCGCAAGTATCTGCTTCTTCAAGAACATTTAAAATTTTTTCTAACATCCTGTATGAAGAGGTGAGAGCTCTTTTTTCTTTGAGAAAGACTTATAGTACCTAATAATGAACACTTCGTATCTCTTATCAGGAACCTTAGATGAAACTTAAAGCTAAATGTAATGTCTAATTATAGTAACTTTTAGTGCTAAGATTATCTTTTTAAACTCTTAATTTAACTCGCATATGTGTATCTACATTGTAATCATTGAAATCAGACATGGAGTGAATAGTGAATATGTAAAGTGAATAAAGATATGAAAACATCACTACAGGATTTGAGGACATGTGGTCGAGAAGGGCTGTAATGGACTGATTAGTGACCATAGTCGTGATGTTTATATCAAAATGTAATTCCTCTTTTACTGGTTTCTGTTAGCTATGGGTCAGACGACATTCCTGCTGGTTGACTAGTCCATTGAACTGTCTTTCCTTAATAGTTTCACCGAAGCCTTTTTTTTTTCTTAGTGAAATCAGCCACATAGAAATGACTTTAGCCTTTAGAAAAATTATTCTTAATGGGCACTTAGTCACCTAGGTGAGAAAATACTGAGTTACTAATTGTATGAATGAGATCAAGAAAGAGCATCTCTGTTGAATCTTGTGGACAGTCAAGGCTTGTCTTGAGGATTTATTGCCCCTTTATCGATAGATTATTAATGAGTTTCTGATAGCTTCTGAATGAAACTGAAATGTAATTTTGTGTTTATATGGAAGGTTAATCAACATTCTCTCTGTATTTGCTTTTCGTAATTATTGGGAGCATCTCAAGGGTTCTTTACAGGAGAACAAATGTTGAAAGCAACTAAAGCAAAATTAATATGCAATCATTAATTAACAACTCTAAGTTGTTCCTATTTTGAAGGGAACTGATCTTGTCTGAAGATACCTTAGACCAGTTTAGAATCATTAACCTCTTATAGAAATGGGTTCATAGTGAATATTCTAAAACTCAAAATTTAGAACAGGTTAAGCTGCTTTATTTAGACAGTCATTCAGAAATTCTTTGTTCTAACTTTTCAAGGTCTTCGCCTTTTGTATGTTTCAGGGCATCCAAGGATTGTATCGGGGCTACAAAAGCACAGTTTTAAGAGAGGTAACATTTAATTTCCAATATTAAGGTACAAAGGACTGATGTGCTTTATTTGGTAAATTTATTTGGAGAAATTGGTTTGAAAAATTAAAAAGGGAAATTATGGTCACTTCTTAAAGCACTGTTTTGTCTTGTTTCTTACATCTGGTGGATAGATAGAATGGGTTTGCTGAAGGAACAATCCCAGTGGTCAGGGTGACCCATCCTATAAGCTTCATTGTTATTCCAAAGTAGCTAAATTCTGTTGTAGCTGAAATACAAGAAATGAATGCTAAAGATCAGATATCAACTTTATGTCTATAATATTCAGAATTAGTGAAAAATTTGTAGTAAAAGAAGTACTCTGAAGGGCAGGTGGGAGAGATTGTCGTTCTGATGCCAGTCCAGTGGCTTGGAGTTTGAGGCTGACCTGGTGCCCTGGCCCTGTGGGGGGCGGGGGTGTGGGGGCACGGTGGCTTGCAGTGCAGTTTGCCAGATCCAGCCACCTCCCTTCCCTGTACTTCTAGCTCTAAACTTTCGGGATTCAGTATGTGGTCAATTTCTTCTTTTTTTTGGTTGAAATAGCAAAGTTGTTTCAGCTTATTACTGTGGGAATGTTTTAATTTTAGCCTCACCTAGTGAAGGCGATTTTCAAGTTTTTTTTTTTTTTTTAATTTTTTTTTTTATAGAGGCATGTTTTTATTTATTTATTTATTTGTTTGTTTGTTTATACATGCACTGGGTACAGTCAGAAGCGCGGGAGGGTGAGAGAATTCACCAGAGCCAGAGCGGGGAGCAGAGCAGGCAGAAGGACCGAGGTACACTGCTGAGGGGAGCAGCGGGCGGCAGGAGAGGTCTGCGCGCCATGTGGGACCCTCCTCCGGTGGCTGGGGATCGAACCGGCACCGCAGAGGCCGCGGGCAGCTTCACAACCCAGCACTCAACCGCTGCGCCACTGGGGAGGCCCGATTTTGAAGTTTAAAGGTGATTTATAGCAAAGTGAGATTAAGAGAAGTCATTGTTTTGGGACATAATTTTCTGTGAAGAAAACTTAGATGAGAATTTGCCTACATCTGCTCTGTGTTCTTGTTTATTTCCTTGGGGTTCCTTGGATGCTATATAAATTGTTCACAAAAAAATGTTTAAATAACCCAAATGCCCAAAAATAGATGACTGGATCAAGAAGATGTGGTACATATACATCATGGAATATTACTCAGCATTCAAAAAAGATAAACACATGCAATTTGCAGCAACATGGGTGGAGCTGGAAGGGATCATGCTCAACGAAATAAGCCAGAAAGAAAAAGAAAAATACCGGATGGTCTCACTCATAGCAGGAATCTAGAAAACTTAAATAAGAGACCGGGAAAAAGAATAACTATAAGAAAGTAAAAATCAAAATCAACAAACAACTATGAACCAGAGACACTGGGGAGGGGGAGTGGGGAAAGGAGGGCTTGGGGTCAAAATAAGGGGGTTGTAATTGTATGGGGAATATAAAAATAAAATAAAATTAAAAATAAAAAAAATAAAAATTAGGACACCAAAAAAAAAAATCTTCATAATTAGTGTAATATTGAAATTTTTCAAAACTCCTAATTTTATTCCTGGGTAGTTTATTTTTTAACTTTTTTACTGTAGATTACAAACTTCTTTATGAAACACTGCATGACACATGCTATTTTATTTATTTATTTATTTATTTTTTTAAATAATAAATTTTATTTTTATATTCCCCATACAATTGCAGCCCCCCCCATTCTGACCCCAATCCCTCCCCTCCCACCCCCCTAAAAGTGTCTCTGGTTCATAGTTTTTTGTTGATTTTGATTTTCACTTTCTTATAGTTATTCATTTTCCTGGTCCCTTATTTAAGTTTTCTAGATTCCTGCTATGAGTGAGACCAGCCGGTATTTTTCTTTTTCTTTTTGGCTTATTTCGCTGAGCATGATCCCTTCCAGCGCCATCCATGTTGCTGCAAATTGCATGTGTTTATCTTTTTTGAATGCTGAGTAATATTCCATGGTATATATGTACCACATCTTCTTGATCCAGTCATCTATTTTTGGGCATTTGGGTTGTTTTTAAAGCTTAGCTATTGTAAACCGTGCTGCTATAAACATAGGGGTGCAGGTGTTCTTTGGAATTGATGTTTCTGTGTCCTTTGGGTAAATACCTAGGAGTGGAATTGCTGGATCATATGGAAGCTCTATGTTTAGTAGGTCCAGAAATCTCCACACAGCTCTCCACAGTGGTTGGACCAGTTTGCACTCCCACCAACAGTGCAGAAGAGTTCCTTTTTCTCCACACCCTCGCCAACATTTGTTGTTGCTAGTTTTTTTAATATGTGCCATTCTCACTGGTGTAAGATGGTATCTCGTGGTAGTTTTGATTTGCATTTACCTGATGACAAGTGATGTTGAACATTTTTTCATATGCCCCTTGGCCATTTGCATTTCCTCTTCAGAGAAGTTTCTTTTTAGCTCTTCTGCCCATTTTTTGACTGGATTATTTTCTTTGTTGTTGTTGAGTCTCATCAGCTCTTTGCAGATTTTTGTGATCAGTCCTTTATCATTAGTGTTGGGTGCAAAAATGTTCTCCCAGTTGGTGGGGTTTCTCTTTGTTTTTGTTATTGTCTCTTTTGCTGTGCAGAAGCTCTTTAATTTGATGTAGTCCCAGCTGTTTATCTTTGCCTTCACTATCACTGCTTTGGGTGATGTGTCTATAAAGATGTCTTTGATGTGCAAATCACGTAGTGTTTCGCCTATATTTCCTTCTATATATTTTATGGTTTCAGGTCTTATGTCTAGTTCTTTAATCCATTTTGAGTTGTTTTTGACACATGCTATTTAAAGCTTTGATTTCTGCATGGTAACAATCTTCAGTGTAGCATGGTATAGTTGATACAGGTCTTTGAAAAACTAATGCCGGCAAACTGAATGTTTCAAAATTAGTTATTTATGTGAAGATGACTTCTGCCTTTCAAAAATATCACCCACACTCTATCTTCATTCTATACTTATTTTCTGACTCCTAGACATGTGTTATTTATTCTGATTTCACCTGGGTACAAGAAAAAGGGAGGGGGACAATGAACCTTATTTTATTTTCCTGAAAGATGCTGAATAAATGAATATATTTACACACTAGAGAATACTGGTTTTGCATACAAACAGATAAAACACATGGTTACAAATGCATTCTGTTTTTTTAAAAATTTGTTTTGACATATGTCACGCTAGTAATTAATTTCTTGGCTTCAATTCTTGCAAATAGTGTGACCCTACCGAGATGACTTTGTTTACTCAAATGGCAGTGCTTTGTTGGAAATTTAATTGGGGTCTTCTGCATTATGCGTACTCATAAAAGATCCTTCAGAACTGATTTTCATTGAAATATTGCTTTTGTAGAGATTTTCTGATAGAATGAGAGAAGAATTATTGCTGAATAGAACATAGCTTCTTTTCAAAATGAGAAAAATAAGAAGTGATATATCTATTTTAAACAAAAATTTTGCATTATAAATAGTTCCAATTCTTACTTTCTTCTGACACCAATATCAAATCTTTTTGCCAAAAGCTTGTGTGATTGTTTCAATAAGAAAATACATCAGAGCCTTAGTGATAATCTCCAGGGAACTTATACATTTATTCTGTGTACAGTTTTTTCTTTGAAATAGTTTTAGCTTCCTAGCAGTAGCCCATTAGAATGAGATTGAAGTTTGAATCCATGCATTATAAGATAGATTATTGTATGTGCTTGAGATTTTGTGACTGCCGTCACATTTTTTTTTTTTTTTACTGCATTTGGTGTCTGTGGAGATTGCATGCTTATCCTTTATAAGTTCTCCTAAATTATTTTAGTTACTGTGAATTTTAGACTGAGTTGAAGCAAGGTCAGTAGATTATATGATTTACCTCACCCTTTCAGTATTCATTTTCTTCCTGATCTTGGCCAAATTAGATGTGGTCAACCATTGTGCTGTGGTATTATTGCAATAAGATGGAAATGGAGAGCAAAATCTCAGCTGCTTTTATAGCCAGGCTGATTTCGGAGGATCCATTGTACTGAAAGGTCTGTGGAGAGCAGACATCACCATCTTAGAGGTGAATCAGAAGGACTTCTGTAGAGGAAGAAAGCAGAGAAAGGCAAGTTGTTTCAAGGGAAGTAAGAATAAGCTAAACTCTGAAAATGGATTTTATTCACAAACTCTACTTATCATTAAACAGTACCTACTGTGTGTTGGACACCAGAAAGGATAATTTTGCCCTAAATGGAGTTATGCTTTGGTGGGGAAACAAATAGGAATGTAGATGCTTCACATTGCAGTATAACAGTGCCATTTATGTCCAAATAGAATGCCACTGGGATTATAAAAGGAGCGATGGTTGAGTGGTACTCAGTATTTGTTCCATTAGTAGAAATGAATCTTCACTTAATTCCTTTATTTGTTACTTAATTCTTGGAAGAGTCACAAAAGAAGCAGTCAATGAGACAGGCATGAAACAGGCAGAAGTAATAACATGAGCAGAGGCACCAGGGGATGCAAAAACGTGTGTGTGCCTTGCTTAACTTAGTAGAATTGGAGTATTTAGTTACATAGAAGAGGCAAGGGTGGGATTTCCCTGTACCCCAAGCAAGAGGTTCTTTTAAGAATGCCCTCAACAAAAGGGGTATTTGGCAGGAGGAGAGGTTGAACCTCTCACCCCAGCTGGAAGTTTGCCAGGATGCAGAAGTGGAAAATATGAGGAAAACTCTTGGAAGAGCCTGACTTGTGTCTCCTAGAGGTTGGAATTAAAATTACTGGTGAGTGATTCTTGTCTGTAGAAATCTGACAGTGATACACAGATTGGAGCTGTCAAGTGGCAAGAGGTTGTCATTTTGGTAATGAGTGATTCCTGGCTTCTTTTTGATAAAGAGTTGCTATTTAAGAGATTTGAGGTAACTAAGGATTATCTATCCCTCTCCCTCCAATTTTAATAACCAGCTTTCAGTGGGAGCAAATCTCCCACCAAATTCTG